CCGACTTCGGCGCAAATGCTGATTTCTTCTATGTCAACCACGAGTTGTCGGGGCAAGTCTCGTTGATGGGTGGTGAAAACGCCAAAGTGATCAAGTGCGCCGACGCCGTCGGTTGTCCCAAGGCCGGGATCATTGCCCGCGGGGACCTAGAGAGGTGCAAGCCCAGCGAGATGGCTTCCAAGTGGGGCCCCGACCATCCCCTGGTGGGCTGCACGCACACGAATATATCGAGGATGGTTGCCACGGGATTTCACACTCTACATGGAGCGCTGGCCAACACGGGCCTCCATGCGTTTTTCACGTTCCTACCTGTGTGTGACGAGCTCAACCTGTGCACGGCAGACGGCCATGCGGAGTGGACCCAAGGACACAATCTCTTCCAGGAGCACTTGATTCAGGACCACGTCATCAACAGGCAGTGGGACTCGGTGCCGTGGAGGAACAAGTTCAGAGAGTTCGATTGGATGAAGAGGGTCATGGGAAAGGTGAGGAAGGTGGTCGGCACTGTGGCGTGAGCTCGAGCATGAATACTTCAGCGTCCTTATCCTCTCTGTACGACATATTTATTTGCCCCCCCCCCTTGGTCATTCTGCTCCAGATATTTTGTCTGCCGCTTCTGCTCGCCGACCGAGCAGCTTGGGCCGAGGGCCCAATGCATTAGCCCGACACAATACGCAGTGCGCCACAATATGAATTGGCACGCTGCACTCTGCCACTATACGAACTGCTACAATGCAGAGCGTTCCACAATATGAGTCTTCAGCACCGATTCTTTGTACGTGCCGCAATACGAATGTGGCCACTGGGTGACATTCGCGAGCGAGCCACGTTTGCCGCGGTATTCTTGACGCTTCGCGTATCCCCACCAGCCCCCCCCCACCCCCACCTGACGGGCACCTTTCCCCCTCTCAAGTTCACAGCTCTTGCAACGCACACCGTTGGGTTCTCAGCGGTCACCGCCGCCACCTGGCCCACCGTCTTTGCCCCTCTCCCCACCTCCTTTATTTACCAGACTCGCGGCTATCGGCTGCGCCTCCCCCCCTCTCCTCCACGCACACTGATGTGGTGTACCACGCCACTCGGCTTCCCCCCATCGTGGCAACGTTCACGTGCTTGCTCCGAGGTGGTCACACCGATCCCTGCGGCGGGGTGCGACCACCCGCTGGCTCCGGTGGGTGGGCCTGGGGAGGCAGGATTCGTGTACAAGTGGTCCATCCTTTGACAGGACTGAGCCTTCACATGGCAGGCCCGTCCCTCCGGCCCCCGGCTTCGCTTGTGACATCGCCCCCTTGCTCTGGACGGACATGTTGCTCGCGTACGCCAACGACGCCAACGACCGTTTCCACGGTGCACGGCGCACGTGGCCCACGACAGCCCAGCGGTTCTCCCACGGGCAGATCCGCAGGCCTCCCGCTGGGTGGTGCAGCCGTGGTACCACGCAGCGTTCCCCCCATCCACAGTGGCAAGGAAGTTGCAGGCTGGGTCTCTCACGACTAGGCTGCCGACGCCTGTCATGGTTCGGCGCATCTGTCTTCGAGCACTTTGGGTGCTCTGTGAGTGAGGCTTCCGTCCTTTCCCCTCCCCTCGTCGCCTCCTGCGCCTGTCTCCCCTTCTGTCCTCCTCGCCGCGTTTGGCGGTGCCTTTCCTCGGGTTCCGTGCTGCCCGCACAGCGTTCCCGCCTTCTCGCAGGCTTGGTCTATGGGGGCTGGCGCCACAGTGCGACCCTCCGCCGGCTTTTCCAGTCTGCTGCCGTCTTCCGTTCCCGGGTCGGCTCTAATGAGGTTCGTTTTGACCATCGCACGTGTATTGCGGCGTTGGCCTATGTTCTTTCGTTGCCAATCGTCTCGCTTTGCGCCCCTGTCGAGATTGACCCGCTCTCTGGAGCCGTCCTTGGAGCCGCAGATCAAAAAAGTATCCCCGCCAGCCCGTAGTACGGTTTGAGCTGGCGCCATTGTGCGACTTCTCTCCGTCTACTCCAATCTGGTGCTTGCGTCCCCGTTCTCGGGTCGCTCGCATCTTAATGGGGGGCATTTTGCCTCTTGCAGGTGCACTTGCTGCGTCGGCCCAGGCGCCGTCGTAGCCAATTATCTCGCCCTGTGCCCCAGCCGCGTCCGCCCCGCTTCTTGGGCTCTTCCTTGGAGCCGCCAATCAAAAAAAATATCCCCACCAGCCCATCCAGAAGCGATGCCCATGAAAGTTGACGGGGGGAGAGAGGAAGAGACACGCATAGTCAAACAGCTAGGGAGGCCGGCCTGGTGACTGGTTGGGGCATCCAAGGCAGGTCTGCCAAACCAGCAATACAGTCCAAGAGCAGCTCGAGAGAGAGGAGTAAACAAGGAGGAGGAGGAAGAGGAGGAGAGGAGGAGTAGGACGGAGGCAGGAGGGAAGGGAGGCTAGAAAGCAATACGAAGAGGAAGTAGGACGGGGACTACGGAGATTCTGAGGATAAGGAAGGAAGGGAGGAAGAGGAGGAGGGGAGGACGGAGGAGGAGGAGGAGGAGGAGGCGGAGGACAGGAGGGAGGAGGAAGGGGAGGAGGAGGGAGAGGAGGAGGAAGACGAGGACGAGGACGAGGACGAGGACGGGGACGAGGGAGAGGGGGATGATGAGAACGAGGAGGCGGTGGATGAGGAGGAAGAGGATGATCAGGAGGAGGAGGAGGAACAGCAGCAGCAGCAGGAGGAACATGAGGAGGAGGATAAGGACGAGGAGGCCGACGAAGATGAGAACGAGGAGGAGGACGATGACGAGGAGGGCGAGGAGGTTTCGGTGCGGAGCTTTTCCAAGCGTCTCTTCAGCTCTCCAGGAGCCGTCTTGAAACATGTTGTTAGTTGTTGTTTGCTCCACGCTCGTGACGTATCGTTGTACGGTGTTCCGCAGAAGCGTCCGTTGCCCACGTGCCCGACTAAAACCTGAGCGCGCCTCTTGGGGCGCTCTTGGGGTGTCTGGCCTCTCGGGGGGGGGGGGGGGGCGGCAGGTGGAAAAGAGATGGGCGGGGGTCTCGATGCGTGTCCCTCCCCCTCGGGGGGCACGATTTTCGTGAGGGGTATGTAAAAATTGGCCCTCCCAGGGGCCGAGAAGGGACCCTCTGACACCTCGCGGCCCCTCCCGAACCACCTCAGGAAGGGGAGGGGGAGGGGGGCCCCTCCCCGAAGGGAAGAGGGGTTGTGGAAGAGGAAAGAGACCCACCCTCTTTAGACCACCTGTCGCCCAAAGGGCTGGTGGGCCATCTCGAGCCCTCTTGGAGCGGTCTTGGGGCCTCTTGGGGCATCTTGTGACCATCTTGAGCCAGCTTGGACAATCTTGAGCCATCTTGGAGGTCATCCTGGGCTCTCTGAGGCCGCTTGGGGGCCATTCGGGGGCCTCTTGGAGGCCTCTCGGGGGCCTCTTGGGGCCCTCTTGGGGCCTCTTGGGGCGCTAGCGGAACCCTCTTGGGGGCCTCTGGGGAGCCCTGGAGGGCCTCTTGGGGCCATCTTGGAGGCGGTCGGTCAAAAGATGGGGGTACTCGATTTAGGTCCCCCCCTCGGGGGTCACGATCCTCGTGAGGGGTGGCAGAAATGGCCCGCCCAATGGCCGAAAAAGGAGCCTCCGACACCTCGCGATCCCTCCAAGCAAACCTCAGGGAGGGGAGGAGAGGAGGGGGAGGGTTCCCCCCCCCCCCGAAGGGAAAAGGGGTCGTGGAAGAGGAAAGAGATCCTCCTTAGACCACCTGTCGCCCAAATGTTTGGTAGGATTATACTATTGGCACCGTGCGGCCATAGCTAGGACACGCAGGCACGAAGAAGGGGTGCTCCTGTGGCGCTCGCGGCCAAAGTGCTTGCGGCCGGCTGCCCCGCCCGCCCTCTTGTGCGTTCCGCGCTGCTTCTCTCTGCGGTCGGATCGGGGAGGAGGAGGAGGAGGAGGAGGAGGAGGAGGAGGAGGAGGAGGAAGAGGCGGAGGAGGAGGCAGAGGAGGAGGCGGAGGAGGAGGAGAGGAGGGAGGAGGAGGAAGAGAGGAGGAGGAGGAGGGTGGAGGAGGAGGAGGAGGGGGGAAATAGGAGGAGGAGGCGGAATAGGAGGAGGAGGAGGAGGAGGAGGAGGAGGAGGAGAGGAGGAGGAGGCGGAGGAGGAGACCTTCGTTCTCCCCTACCGCCTCCTTGCTCCGGCCACCTTGCCCACCACTAGTTATTCCCGCCCTGCCGTGCCAGTGGGAGGCCGTGGCGCAGAGGGCAAAGCCCGCTGGCCAACAGCGATCTCCTCGATTTTTCTGTCCAGCGGCCATGTAGAAAGTAAGGTCAGTGTAGTTAGGGTAACAAAGAATGGCATAAACATACAATCTCGGAGGTCCGCGGGAGGTTCTCGGATCCGCGCTGGACCTCTCCCTGGCGCGCGGAGCGCGCCAGGCGCGGCGCCGGAGGCGCCGCCAGGGGCCCCCAGCGCCGATCCAAGAAAACCGAGCGGACCTCCGAGTTGTTATGTTTATGTCCTTCTTCCTTCCCCTAGTAATGGCATAGCGTAGTGCTGGAGACACCTGGGTGTGACACTGCGCTACCGCCGGCGTGATGCCATAGCGTAGTGTCAAACTTCACGGCTAAGATCTACTCTCTCCCTTGCCTGTGGAAGGGCCCCTACTGTATGAAGTCCTCGCTTCTCCCAGGAGCGGCTGGACCTCTCGTCGCGGGCGACCTTCGCGCACGTCGAGGCCGAGCTTCGGCACGCCGGCTCCCTGGTGGACCCTGCGGGCGAACAGGAAAAAAAAACAGGCCCGCAGCCGCGACCCCGCGCATCACGGGCGCTTTGTTGCAACGGACGCCCCGCGCTGATGGGCCTGTCTTCCACCACCACCACTACCATAAGTTGGAGGGGGAACGGGGAGGAGGCCGAGGAGGAGGAGGAGGAGGAGGTGGAGGAGGACCCCCTCCCCCTCCAACTTCTGGTGGTGGTGGTGGAAAACAGGCCCGTCACGCGCGGCTGTGCGACCGCGTACATCAGCGGGGTCGCGCCCCGGGATCCAGACCGCGAGGGCGCGGATATGGACCTGTTTGCCGCTCGTGAGGGCCCGCTCGGACAGAAACATTGCAGCCTCGTGAAACGTCACGCCAGAATTTCTAGGCCTCATCTCTTATTGCGTCAGCTTTCGAGCCTGGTCGATCTGTGAGGCTCCCGGAGCCCGAAGCCGGGCAGAATCGCTGTTGTGGATCGGATCGCAGGGCTCCCTGGTGGACGCGTTCGGGAACCTGGCTGCCGGTGGGGGTGGAGGGTCTTGGCTGCGGGTGGGGGTCCTGGCTGCGGGTGGGGGCGGGTTGTGCTGTCCTCGTCGTCGCCCCTCGCGAGGACTCGTTCGGGGACTTGGCTGGCGCGAGCCACAGGCGGCAGTGGGCGCAGCTGCGGGACCTGGTGCACTCCGCGAAGCGGCAGCGGGCCGGCGGAGGGGGCCGCTTGCCCTGCTCCGCGAGCGCGCCCGTGGGCCTCGGCGGCTCCTCCTCCTCCCCCTCCTCCGCTTCCTCCTCCTCCTCCTCCTCCTCCTCCTCCTCCTCCTCCTCCTCCTCCTCCTCCGTAGCCATTTTGGCTCAAGGGGACTGCTCAGAGCGCCCCTCCTGCGAGGACAGGCCTCGCGGCACAGGAGCTTCAGTGCCCGTGCTTTGTGGCTCACCATCTGGCCCTCTGGGCCCTGCCCTGGAGAGGCGACGACGACTCACACCTACAGGCCGCGATGGGCCCTGCGTGCTGCGATCGCCCTCGCCCTCACATGCATCGCTTGGACGCAGGCGAGGACGCTGACACTGACCCCGCAGTTGCATCCTCGAGCTCAGGCCATGAGGGGGGCGACTGTCGCTCGGCCTCCCGCAGTGGAGGCAGCCGCGGTGTGCGCCGTGCCGCGCGCGCTCGCCCTGCAGCCGCCCGACCCTCGGATGCTCACATGGCTGCTCCCCGTCGCCTTCGCCGTGCTGGCCGTGCTCGGGGCTCAGGCTGGGATGTCCCGCCGCCTGCTGCTGCCGCCGCTTCACATCGAGGCCCTGACCCTGCTGCAATTGGTGGCGTCCTGGACCCAGCTCAGCTCGCTGCCTTGGCGGAGGAGTTGGAAGCGGCCCCCACGTTCCCATCGCAGCCAGAGCCCGCAGTCCGTCACACCCATGCTGATGGCTCGGCGCCCAGCGGTGCACCGCCTTTTGATCCGTGGGCACAGGCTGCTCCGATGGGCTGCCCCCCTGGCGGCTCTGGCCATCCCCCTGGCCCCCATGCTCGTGATGATGAGGAGCAGCACGCTGCATTCACTCGTGCATTCTACCACGCAGATATCGTTGCCCGCTTCAACCAGCTCCGCGGAGAGTTGGATCACATCGTTTCGACTGCCGTCTCGTCCACTGTTCAGCGCACCAACGGCCCGACCCTTGCCACGTTCGCCACGCTCACCCGACATATCGAGGACCCGGCAAAGCAGTTCGACCAGCAGATCATGGGCACCACGAGGCCGACTTTGGATCGGCTTCAGCGTGAACTGCAGGATCAACGCGATGCCTTGTCCCAGAGAGTCGAGTCGAATGAGCAGGCCACCGAGGGTCACGCCACCCAGCTCGCCGACCTTCAGAAACAGGTGCAGGAACTTAGGGACCAAGCCTCGATCGATCGGAAGATGCCGTCGCGCCCGCCTGCACTCCCTGGCTTCGATCGCGAGGTGGGCCCGACTCAGCTCGTCGTCGTCTCTACTAAGCTTGTTTGCATCGCATCGGTCCGAGAGACTGTCAATAATTTCCTCGGCGAGCTCAACTTCTCCGAGAATGAGGGCTACACGATCAAGGCCCTGTCGCCTCTGCCACCTATGAAGTTCTCGGTCAGCTTCTCGTGGGCAGTGGGCCTCGCCACGCGCCGCGTCCAGAAAGCTCTCGGGTGCCTCAAGTCTGACGGCGCCTGGCGTGCGTTCTACGGCTAGGCCCAAGGCGCCGACCCTGCTCGGCTGCACTTTGGCCCCGGCAAATCCCCCAAGCAGGTTCGCGGTGAGATGCTTCTGCGCAAGATGCGCGCTGCCATGCTCGGGTTGGACCCCCAACGCCGCTGCTTCGTGGATCGCGAGCGTCTGGTCCGCAAGGCTGACTACACCGACGCGCTACGCGTCGCCCCTCGCCCTGGCGACGAGGCGCCTGAGATCTCGCGGAACGACGTCGGCATCCGCGCCCTGGGTCTCCACCGGCGTGATCTGCAAGAGGCGGTGCGGGGCCAGACGTCCGCGGCAGCTCCTGCGCAGTGGTGCATTTAGCAGCTTCACCGACATGCTCCTATTACCTGTGGGTAATGTCGAAGGGGAGCTGATGCAAAGCTTGCAGTTTCTCTCGTGGAATGCGCGCGCATTACTTCAATTTGGGGGCGCTAAGGCATCACCTAAGCTCAAGGACTTCCATCGCTTTCGCCTTGGTTCTGCTATCATTGCCCTTCAGGAGGCGCATGCAGATCGCACCGAGCAAAACGACTTCGTCTCTAGGTCTTCGGCCACTGCCATCGCCCACGGCAGCTTCTGCGAGGATAGCGATGGGCAGGAGGTTCGAGGGGCAGGCGGAGTTGCAGTTGTTCTTCCTCCGTTCTCTTCATCTTCCGTCAGCAGCTGCGCGGTGCCCTTGGTCAAGGGCAGGGTGCGACGCGTGGGCAGCGCTTGGGGTGACACAGCTGGTGGTATTCAATGTGCGCAATCATGGCCTGACTCGGGCTGAGGTTCTCCGCGTCTGTGAACATGCCGAGGGGGCTCTACGTCAGACTGCTGATAACCCGTTAGCTGTGGAAGGACCCGTGTAATACCCTCATATACACTCCTTATCCTTACCTCTCCCGCACCTGGCCGTTTGGGCTCAGGTACTGAGTTGGAGCGATCGTACCTTGATCGCGTGGGAGGGAAAGATAACCATCTATCCCTCCATCTCTCTACCAACGGACCAGGGGTTCTGTACCCTTGTACTTCAACCCCATACACAGGTTATCAGCCCTTTAACGCCCACCTTCACCGACTCGACCGCGGTGACCGTGCATGCGAGCCTGATGGAGCCACTTCGGCGCATGCGCCGTAAGGGTTCCATTGGGGCTTCGCGTCCAAGCTCTCCCACGGCGCGACGGCTCGGTGACGAGTTGGAGAGCATTAATGCGGACTGTGTTGGTGTTCCCGATACCCCCCCCAGCTCCCAAGGACCCGAGGCGCGACTAGCTGCTGAACTTCGCCGCAGCGCCGCCCGCGGGGGGACAGGAGAAGGAGTAGGAACAGGAAGGAAGGAGTTTCACACGCCGACCTTCGATCCTCCCTCCCCTTCCCCGTCGGGAGCAATCCCAACCGCGTCAGGCGAAAGCCTTACCGGTCTCGATACTCCAGGGCGCTTTCGCGCTAACCGCCGATGGACCTCAGGTGCTGGGACCCCCAGCCCTGCGACCGTCCCTGTGGCGGAGCACGTAGCTACCTTCGAGGAACTCAGTAGACCAGTGTCGGCGCAGCCACAGACGCGGTGCCCCAAGGTATCGTCGGATGAGACACCACACACACATGGTCCGAGTCGCAGCTCGCCCGCGCGCAACCGCCGTGGAGCCCCAGGCCCATGCGGCGAAAGCAGGTCGAGCCCGCGCACTGCCTCTCAGAGGCCATGCACTCCCCGCGACAGGGGACACAGGGAAGCTGACGCTCCCCACCTCTCCATCTCAGACGACCAGCTGGCGGAGACGTCCGCCGCAGGTGACATAGCTGAGCTCAGAGACCAGGTTGAAACCTTCGTGTCCAGCCAATACTCTGGACTACTACAGAGCGTTCAGACGAACGCCACCGATACTGCAGCCATACGCCGCGATCTTGACGGCGCCTTAGGGATCATCGATTCCAGGATCGCCGAAGATCGACGCATCATAGGAGAACTGCAGTACCAGGTTGATCGTGAGGTGTCACACTCAGGTGAACGAACGGCGATGGTCGAGAACCTGCGCAACTATCTCGCGCAGATGGAGCAACAACTTGTGATCGTACGCGACACAGGCATTTCTGCGGTCAGGATTTCACATGATGAGATCCACGACCAGTTCCGTAACCGACCAACTCCAACCGAGGCCACAGACCTCGGCGACGTTCAGTCTCAGATCAATGATCTTCGATCTTACCTAGACCACACTACGGCGACGCTTCGTACCGAAGCACACACAAACTCGTCGAACCTGATCGACATGTTGCAACGTACTGAGAGAGTCATCACTCAAAGGCTTGATGCGACCAACGCTGTCGTGCAGCCGCTCGCTAACCGGATCTCTGACATAGAGCAGCGTTTTCCTGGTGTACAGGACGCCCTGGCAGAGTTGCGTGTCGGACGAGCCCAGACTGGCCAGCTGGATTCTCCTCCCACGGTTTACGATTTCGCCCGCCTCACTGACAGGTTGCAGGAGGTTGAGAAGGCGGCGGACCACACGCAGTTAGAGCTCTCCCAGGTTATTCATGAAAGAGATACTGAGAAGGTACGTGTAGAGAGTTACCTCGCACGTCTGGAAAGCGAGGTGGAGGCACAAAGCGCCCGTCTCCGAGCATACGAGCATCGACTTGATCGGTATTCACAACGGTCTCGGGATACTGATGAGTATACACGCCAAAAGGTGGGTCAAATACAAGAAGACATGACGAGCTGGACGAATCAGCTGATCGACCACACTAACGACACCAACATTCACCTTCGACCTGCAGCCGACCTGCACAGGCCGACGGCAGCGTCCGCCGAAGCACCACAAGCTTCAGCAGGACAACAACGACGTACATCTCCAGGAGCAGCCTCCGCGGCAGCTTCTGCACAGACACGTCATGTGTCTCCTGTGCGCACAGAACCAACCATCGACGGTGCACCGATACCCTCACAACCAGTGTCTGCGGTGTCGGTCATACAACGACGCCTATCAAGGAGTCAGACACCGTCCGAGTACCTGTCTTGCCTAAGATCACGCAGCTGCTGGAGTGGCAGCAAAGAGTGCGAAAGAACTTCGGGGCCGCCTCAGGGCGACCATCCAAAGCATACGCCTTCCTATGCGTGGCAGAACAGCCCGAATGTACATTCGAGGATTTACAAGACAGTGGAGACTTTGAGAGCATCGATTGCAAACTCGCAACCGCTCTAAGCGACATCTTATCCTCAGACTTACGCTACCAAATCAGGCTCATCGAGACCAGAGAGCACAAAGCAGGACGCATGCTCAAAGGACGCCAGATATACTGGCATATCCTACAGTCCTACAAAGTGACAGACGTCGACGACGACCTGCACGATTTCGAGCGCCTTAAAGAACTGAGGATGAGAGACGAAGATTTGCAACGTTTCATTACCGATTGGGACGCCTTACTCTTGGAATGCCGAGAAGTACCCGATCCAAAGATATTGGAATCGCTATTTCGCACACAGATTCGTAGACATGCATGGATGAAACAAGACATGTACGAGTACCAGCGCATGAAGATGAGCGACCCGAATCGTACCTACGGTTGGCTTCGACAGCGTGTTCTGGACATACTGGAGATTAAACAATTGGAGAAGAATCAAAACAAGCTACGGTACGAACACGAGACACGATCTCAGGTCAACGTGTGCGCTGCATGGAAGAAAGGCAATTGTCGCAATGGTGAACGGCGCAAGGCTTTACATACATATTCCAGGGATTGGAAGAACAACGAATCTTCCAGAACATCAACGGCTGGTGGCAACCCCCGCCGTAGTATGTCCACTCCTGCGAATCACAAGAAGCCGGCATCAAGGCCATTCTGCTTCGATTTTGCCAAGCGCAACACGTGTACCAGAGGTGATAAGTGCAACTACCCGCACGTCGCACAGTGCAAGGATTTCGCACAGAACAAGTGCACAAAAGGCGACAAATGCAAATACGCTCATCTCGCACCTGGTGCAAAGTCTCCTGAACGAAGCCCGAGTCGACCACGGACTTCCAGCCAGGGCAGCCGTGGCCGATCGCCATCCCGCGGATCAGGAAGCCAACGGTCTTCACAACGCGGGGGGTTTCGCTACGCAAGCGATTCACGACAGGGACGTGACAGCCGACGCCAATACGACCGATCCCGTTCGACATCCAGGAGGTCCCAAGACTCTCGCAGCCAATCGAGAAGTCGTTACGACAGATCTTCGAGATCTACCTCCCGAGGACGAGACAATCGCCGCGGCGGACGCGGCAGTCCACGCGGCCGTGATAGATCATATGGTAGTGACAAAGGACGTGGCAAGCGGTATTCGAGCCGCGGATCGCCCCGTGGTTCTCCCGACACTAGAGCACGTTCTCCTGCCAACTTTAGACGTTCACGCCGTTCAGACCGCAGTTACGTCATCCGTGACAAGACCCTCATGGCCAACACTAAGGCCACAGCGACATCTACCAAGACACGTCGTCGGATACGCTTCGACGTACGCAACGTGGACTACTACTTCCATACCATATCTGGCAGAGCCAGACTGGACAGATGGAAAGAGCTGCCGAATGAGGGTGACATCGTCAAAGTACCAGATCCATTACCACAAAAATGGTGGGATGATAGTGCAGAGGCCTTACGAGAATGTCAAAAAGAGGCACAACTATGGTACGACGAACTGTACGACTACCGACACAACAAAGAGTCGGTGGCCACACCAACTGCGATCCGAAAGCATGACGACACTGTCAAGCAGTCATCAAAGACTGCCCAGACGACAACAACGACAGAGCAAGTCGACCCTCCACGTTCGACTGCAGCATTGACAAGGTCTTGGGTTCTTGACAGTGGCTCTGCCCATCATATTCAGGGAAAACATGAACTTACGCAGACCGAGTCGGATCGCATATCTATTCGCGAAGAGCATATTCTGGAAACTGCAAATGGTGATCGTACCGTCAACGAGCACTACGACATACGGCTACCCGAGGTTG